CGTTGATCACGTACAGTGATGAGCACTTCGCCCCAGGCTCCCATTCTGGGCATCACCCCCAGGATGCCAACAACAAACAAGGTAGAAACCAAGCAAATGGATCAGAACATGACACAAGACTCGCAGCCGTGCAGCAACTGTGGCAGCAGGTTTGCTGTAATAGAACTTGTGAATGATCAATGTTTCCAAATATTCTGTGTCATCCTCTTGCTCTAAATTCATAAGTACATTGACAAAATGATCCATTTCTCATCTGAACTACTTGAGTAAGAAAAAGTCCTACTAATTAGGGATGCACCAAGATCAATTTTAATTTCTTAACTTAGGGTATATTCTGATACAGATCCAGTACCAGTGCTCTCTTTTTCCCCTCCTCAAATTTAATTATTATAAATCACTGGTTGAAGACATAGTGATCTTTTTTTTTTTTTTAAACTAACTTAACATGAGGTCAGGGACTGCTGTGAGACTAAAAACGTAGATGGCAGCTGGCACACTGGCATCACTGATGAAGATTGATGTGGAAACACTGGATTTTATAATCACATTGATGAAGAATTTAATGTAATCAGTTACATTATGGCTGATATTTATATTGATATTATAATGTGCTGCAGACTATTTGCATGTTACTCCCCAATAGGGCTTAAAATGAGATGATGAGAAACTGCCACTTAGAGGTTTTACACATCACCCTTAGTGTGATTTATTTAAAAATATTGCAGTAATGCAGTGAACTCTGTCTGCATTAAACTAAACCCCATACCTGGGTTGGTGGTGGGGTTTTTTGTGTGTGTGTTTTTATTTATTTATTATTTTTACATCCCATCTGCCAACACTGTCAGGAATCAATGGAGACACACAAACCAAAATGTGTCACAGCAAAGTCATCGTTTCCATCAGCTCCTAACATGAACTCATTTGAAACAGCCCGTGGGACGGCGTGCTGAGCTCTGCTGCCCTTTCCCTCTGCACTCTTTGCCTGTCAGTAACAACATCAAGCTACAGCCCTGACAGCTGCAGAGGAGCTCCTCAGCAGTTTGGATGAGCTCCTCAGCCCCGCGCAGCTGGAGACGTTGGCAGCTTCTCACGAATGTGAAAAGACGTGGGCCTTGCATAGTTTTGTCCCCGCACCTTTTCCCTCTTTTCTCCTGGCTTTCTTCTCCTGCGACTGCCAGTTGAAAAAGAGGAGAGGGGATCAGACAGGATGTAGGCAGTGATGATGAAGATGATGATGATAAAGATGAGGCTGGGAGGTTCTGAGGGACCGGCTATAAATAATAATGTAGAGCTGAGCGCAAGAGTACACAGCGTAGTGAGATGAAGGGAGTGAGACATATAAAGAAAGTGTGCTCCACATATGTCAGAGGAATCATGCATCAGGCAAATTTTGTAGAATATTTTGTAGTGGAAGCAGGAAAGAAATGTGTTGACACGGAATTGAGCAATAAATACACTGTGCGCACATGCACACATTAGATTTCAGATATTTGCTGTCATGTAGTCATGTAGGAATTTTACCATTCGTGTTGGCCTTGCCAGTCCATTGAGATCGACCAAGTTTCTGACAATAACTGAAGAGCAAAGACCACTGGAAACCCCCCCCCCCCCCCATTGTATTTGATCTTTGCACTCGCAGCCCAACAGAAATCCATGTCCAAGCGATCCAGTTGCAGAATTGGCTGCAGAAATATTTGTGTGTGTGTGAACCAGCAGGGCTCAGCTGAAGATGTGTGCGCGCTCGCTCTCTCTCTCACTCACACACACACACACACACACACACACACACACACACACACATCGACCAATTGCTGCTCTGCCTTCCTCAGTGGGCTCAGACTTTGATCTGCTCGTTAATTATGAAAAACAATTATGGATTTTCTCATTATGACCTCTAATATGCACAGGGCCGCAACCAACGCAGGATGGAAGGTTGAGCGGGGGGGGTTGAATAGGTTACATTTAAACCGTATGGGTTTTTTTTGTTTGAAAGAATTTAAATAACATGGGAACACTAATTTGAATATAGATTATTTCCTGATTTTACACAGAATGAATTGTTTTGTGTGTGAGTATGAAGCCTCATCGGGTGTCAGTAGGAATGTGTGAATAGGCGAGTGAGTAATAAGGCACCTTGGGGGTGTGAGTGACAAGGTTAACACGCTGGGGCTGTCTCCACCTCCCTCGCCGCCTCACCCCTCTGCATCCTTCCCTTCTGCCCTCCGGAGGGCCCTCAGGAGTGTTACGTGGTGGATTAGCGGGCAGGGGGTAGTGGTATGCACGCTATGAATCCAGCGTTGCAACATTGGCTTTGGAGATATAAGCCCCCACTCGCCCGGCTTCTCTAAGGAGGGAGGCCCCTTTAGACCACAGCCTGGAGAGAGAAAGAGGAAGAGAAAAGATAGAGGCAGGCAGAAAAGGCTGGCTCCAACAGGGATTAGAAGATGGTGCTAATCTGGAGGCATTTGCCCTCTTTTCTTTGTGTGTGTGTGTGTGTGTGTGTGTGTGTGTGTTTGAGCACACATGTAGGCACAATGTGCTTGTCTGTGTATGAACAGTATTTCAGTATTTTCCTTTCTACAGACTTTCAATCATATTATTACTTACTCTGCTCTAAAATGAAAAACAAATGGACAAGAATACATGTCGTTACAGATTTTGATACCTTTTAGTCATCTTACTGCCCCGTTCCCAGTTAAGTCTTCCCAAAAAAATAAATAAATAAAAGGGTCCCATCGACCTTGAAAACCCAGCAGGAGTGGGTTAGCTGGAGATGGAAGAGCTTAGTCCTGAAGATCCACCGACAGTTAGCCCAAGTCAATCCTGTGTCTACAGGGAGAGCTGCAGCCTCTGCCACAAAGAGGAGGCCTCAATTAACCAGCTTAAAGACGCTGAAACACATAGAAAGGACTCCAGCTAAGCAGGGGAAATATTATCCTTTTCTTACTGGTTGATAATGTGAGGTCAAGAAGCATGTTGAAGCCCCGACATGTGCACTGTACATGACTTGTAGTGAAGCAGGATGGGAAAGGTGGGAAGGAGTAATAGGTTTTAAACAAAAAAAATCTTAACTGAAGGTCCAATGCTCGCTTTTTTGGGAGTTTTTAACTGTAGCTCAGTCTTCCTCAGCAGATGGAGTTTGCCACCTTTTCCTCTCCCGATACAGACTCTGATACCTGAACTGTTGTATCTGCCAATACCAATCCAATACCAGTGCTCTCTTTTTCTCAAATTTAAAATCTATATACCTTACTGTGTGGAACCACTGAAATCATATTTACTTAAAGTAACATGAGTCCAGGGATTGATGCGGCTAAACTTGACTGAATGAATGTAACTGATTGTGGAAAGTATTTAAAATCTGCACTGACATTGACAAAGAAACTGTATGTATGTAATATGGGTCGGTCACATCATGGATGATACCCGATGCTAGGGCTGAACAGTTAATCAAAATATGGCCAAGTGCAATACCCAAATTGTAGGAACTGGATGTAAAGGAACATGCTTAATTGGTACAGACGCCAGCAAAAATTATCTTTTATAATCATTATCATAATAATTTTCCCAAGTTTTGACTGGGTATTGTATTGTGATATTTTTTTAGATTGGTGTCTGAGCAATACCTGAGTTTCAGCACCAGTACCGATCCCTTTCTTTGAGGAACATAAACTTTTTTTTTTTCTATAAACCCTTTTATGCTGTTCATTTAAACTTCTGGATTACAGTATTGTTTAATGTTGCCTTAACCCCAAGAACAGCTGTACAGTAACGTTATAAAATGGTATACAAAGTCATGACTTAAATCAGGATATGTCTGATCAAAGAATATGCAAGACCTGACAAAGCATTCAAAGCTAACATTTTGTAGTGTACATATATGATCGGTTGTGTTTTTATTTAAATATTTTTCTTTGTGCTCACTCAAATGTTCTTTTGTAGTGCGTTTTATAATGACCCTGATGAGGGCCAGAAGCCAAAACACCCACAATAAAGTTGTTCCCACAATAAAGTTGTTCTTTATACTACAAGTGATGCTGTAGTATGTGTTTTGCCACCTTTTATAACTTTTATCACTTGCCAGTTTTTGATACTCAGTGCTACAGGCACATTTTGATTGGTACTTAGAGCCACAGGATGCAGATATAATTGTAAAAACTGCATCAGCTATCCAACTTCAATACTTTCTGACAGTTGTGTACCATTGTTGTTTGTCTAGGAATGCAGAGGCATCACCCTGGACCAGACATGCCCAACTTCTACTCCCTGTCTCCTGGAGGAGTGGGGCAAATCACGCCACCGCTGGGATGGTGAGTTAGAGACAGGCAAATGCATGCACAGTTGATTCATGTAAACAAGGAGCAATTACTATCGAATCAGATGCACACGGATACTATACTAGCTTTGTGTACTGAACTGAGGAATGGTGGCCTGCAGCAGCCTACAAGGGGAGGTCTGCCTCTGGCTGCTGCGGCTTCAGCCACACCGCTCCTCTGTGTGCCCAGCACATGTCAAACACATCACTGCATTCGTGCCCCTGCATAACCATATGGCTGCTCAAACACCATCAAAGCTCCCTGGAAGCACTTCTCTCTCTCAGCCTCACTTCATTTTCCTGACATTTGTGACATATCTTTATTTTTTTTTTTTTTGTATACTTCTTTCTTCCTCTTTTGACTGCATCCTTGTCGCTGCCATTGCGCAAAATATCCTGCCCTCGTACTTTCTTCATCCTCACTATCTCTTTCTCCGTCAACATGATGTTTGTAAAGACAGGCCTTTAGGCATACACTGAGTGAAGCCACATGTAAGGCGACGGTTCAAGCCCAGACTGTTTCCCCCTGCATTCCTCCTCAGACCCACTTCAAAAAACCTACAGTATATTAGCCCATTTGTGGATGTAGGAACTTTCCCCCACTTTTTCACCTCAGGAACCTAGTTCTGATTTTGGATCCCTGGTCATAGTTTTTACCCCACAACAAGTCTCTCAGACTGAGGAAGCCTTGTGTTTGCAGTACAGAACATTGCTGATCAGTAAATTTCAGGCATCACAAGAATCTTTTTTTTTTTTTTTTTTTTTCTATTACAAATACTTTTAAAAACCAGCAACCATTTGACTGAAACATAACCACAGCATGATGAAGTGAGTGTTGAAATAAATGCCAAAAAATGGAACAGAATGGAAAATGGAGATGGAGATATTGTGGACCCGCTGATGGACTGATGACAAGAAAAAAATCTATTTATTATTTCAGAAGAAGAGTCTCAAAGAGTTTAAGAAGCTGGCCAGGAAAAGAAAAAGCATATCTAAAGATTTCCTCATGTTTTACAGAAATGTATATTCAAAGCAACTCTGAAGAAAACTCAAAAGAATAGCAACAGATTTTAAAAATACTAAAGACCTCAGTTCCTCCAGTTTAGCCAGATCTTCATGGGTCTTGAGATGCAGTGTGAAGGCCTACACAAGCAATGTGTCATAGAGTGCAAAACAAACATGTAAGTTCCCATGTAGTCATATTGAGATGGTGCAATATCTCCTTGTGACCCCTTGTTACAGGTTGCATGTTAATGTGTTGCGAGCAGTTCATTTAAATAATCTTTAGAGGCCTGAAGGCTATAGTGCATTATTCCACCAGAAAGAAGCAATCTTTTATTTTATTTATTTTTTCCTACCTCTTGCAGAGGCAGCTTTACATGTGGTCTTTTTTACTGTGTCCAACATGATATTTTAATTATTATTGACTGCTGTCTGTAAGCCGAACTGCCCATCTGGGACATTAAAGTTTTACCCTACTCCGTTCTACTGAAGTTGAAAAAATTGTTGCTAAAACAGATCTAGAGCTAGAAGAGTGAAAATATTTTTCTAAATATTATATATCCATAATATCTAAAATCTAACATCAAGCAAACACATACGTGTGGATGGATTTCTCTCCTTGTCTGTGTACGTTGTTGCAAGTGTGCACCTACTGTCACTTCTGGGTGTTATTTTTTTGTTTTTTTTTTCTCTCTCACTTAGATGATATTTAGGGGGACCCTTTTCATGTTACTGTCCTTTTTCGCTCTTTAATTAATCAAAGTCTGCTGTTATTGCAGGTTCTCACACCACATGGTGCCCGGCCCCCCAGGTCCCCACGCCACAGGGATCCCCCACCCGGCCATCGTCAACCCACAGGTCAAACATGAGCCTCTGCATGAAACAGATCTCATGCACATGTGAGTCCTACAAACACGAAATGCCTTCACAAAAGACTCACACACTTTTTTTTTTCCTTTTTATTAAAAGCACAAACTTCTGTACCCCCCCTCTATTAGCAGTTTTCTGACACTACATACTTTCAGGTGTGCTCCACCACTACAGTAGACCATTGCTGAACAAACCCCCTGTCATAGCGTTGTTCTTAGTCCCTTGATGTGAGAAGATAAGCAGCAAGGGCCCGCGCTCTACTGATAACAGGCCTATGCTTCATTTGGCCTCAGGGATCACAACACACTTAGCCAGCAACAGATAGAGGTCCTAGATTAGGGCTGGGATGAACTGAATTCACATCCCAAGTGTGTGCGGTGGGGAAGTGCTGAGAGCACCCTGAAGTGGTTATCACTGATATTTCCATTATTCATGGCCATCCCAGTACCAAGATTGTGCTAATATCAAAAAGGTTATTAGAAAGTAAGTCAGGAGTGGGAGCAACAGTGTCTTTGAGTGGTTGAGCATTTGGTTTTAAGCGATTGCCAATGTGCTCTGGACGAGAAGGTTTGGTTACGATTACTGGTGAAGTAATCTCTCTGCATGAAGGGCTGCGACTGTGCAACTGCACATGATTAAAGAGGCAGGGGGGCCAATGGTGTGGCAACCCCTCTCGCACTGCCTCTCTATTGCTGAGAGCAACCAGAGCCTCGCTGCTTTTGTTGCACCACAATGTCCTTCTTGTGTTGCTTTTGCTCTTACATTCTCTCATTTTTCTATTTTGTTTCCACCTCGTCTTTACTTCCCTCTATGTTGTTGTTGTTTTCTGTCTTTACAGGAAACCCCAGCACGAACAGAGGAAGGAGCAGGAGCCTAAAAGACCGCACATCAAGAAGCCACTAAACGCCTTCATGCTCTACATGAAAGAAATGCGTGCGAATGTGGTCGCCGAGTGCACGCTGAAGGAGAGTGCTGCCATCAATCAGATCCTGGGGCGAAGGGTAGGCACACCTATCTCATTGTCTTTGACACTGAAGCTCATCTTTGTTGATTTTGAGGTAAATCACCAAGAGATCACAGTTGAAGCCACGGCCCTAAAGAGGCTGTATGGACTGACTTCCCAGCCCCAATTAGTTTTAAAAAAGTAAAAAGATTCCTTCTCTCCATTAACATACTGTCTTTTATGAACTAGTTGTGATTATTGTCATAATGATTGCCCCAGCCAATTACTTCTCTCTCAGCAGCACAGATACAGACTGCCTATCTAACTGACATTTAATCAAATTGGCTTTAATAAAATATGCCTGGATAATGGCATGGTTGGAAATGACAAAATTTGTTCCTTTTGAGGATTGGGAAAAGAGTGGAACCACAGAGCCATGTTAAAAGCCTTAACGAATAGGCCTAGCGGTTGAGGCAGCCAGCCACAGCAAAGCCTAGTTTGTGGCCTGCATAGGGTAATTGCTTGCTGACATAGTTTTGAATAAAAAGCGCTGCTAAATTGGAACCAGTGTTTGATATGAAATCAAAGTTTTTTTTTTCTTTCTCCTTCTCTTCTCTCCCTCTCTCTGACTCGTGTACATGTTAATCTCTTCATCATGTGCCCCCCTCACACGTTAGGAAGTTGAAAAATACATTTATTTTTTTCTCTTTCTGCCAAAACACCAGCAAACTTCTCTATGCAGGGAACATGCAAGTGCATGCCAGTAATTGACTGTATGCTATTTTTTCCCCTAATCTCCTTTGTACTGAAACAGTGGCATGCTTTATCTCGGGAAGAGCAAGCTAAGTATTATGAGTTAGCCCGCAAGGAACGGCAGCTCCACATGCAGCTCTACCCAGGCTGGTCTGCTCGAGACAATTATGTAAGTATCAACAGAACAGATTGGCAGAGGTGCGCGTGCGTGTGTGTATGCTGATTTTATGTTGTTTATGTCGGCGTTACATGTCTTGTTCTTTAAACGGCACCCAATAATGACACACGCTAATTTACACTAGTCGGCTCCATGCTAATGGCGACCATTTGGGGACCCCTTTGTTTCAGCCTAATGTGTAATTCATAACTGGGATTCGCTGTTATATTACCATCCATACTAAAATGGATTGTAGTATCATGGACATTATTGTTGCCACAGTGAGTGAAAACTGCCTGGTAATGGCTATGCTAGTCTTTGATGTTCTATATCAGCATGGAGCTGATGGTCGTAAAAAGCACCTGTTACGACTGAGTTGAGGAGGCTGGATCGTGCACACAGCATTGAGCAGCAGCAACCTTTGCTCCTGTAGCTGCCCATTTTGTTTATGAATGTGGGTGGTTCAGCTGGATTTAAGATGCAGTCTGTTTTTTGGTGTTTATTACTGTGAGCGTGCGCGTGTGTGTGTTTGTGTATTTGCATGGAAGTTGTCATATCTGTCTCTTGTCTATGTGGTGTGTATGAATTTGTGTGAGAGAGCACCAGCCTTTTATTAAAAGTGTGGCTCCGGCACTCACATTCACTCCACCACCAAAGTGCTTTGTGGTGTTTATCTGCCTCCCCTCGGACACCGACAGCATCCCTCCTCCTTCTGCCTCCACTGCTCCGCTGCCAAAATGCCTCGCTGAGGGGGGAGACAGTTTCACAGCCCTGAAGCACAGTTAAAGATATACAATATCAGCTAGTGACAGTTAGCCCAGTTCCCATTTAATTTCCAGCTTTGTTAGTACAAACATATTTGACGGGTAGGGGGTGAAAAAAAGAGCAGAGGAATGGCTTTCTACTTGGCATACCAGAGAGATAAAGGGAAACGATATGTTTAACGCAAAACATTTCTTACAAGTAAGAAGCGCTATCCTGTGACCCCTCCCACAAACAAAATCTTCTGCTGTACATAGGCAGCACATCATGCCTGGAAACACCCAAAATAGGTAACGCACTGGCATGGAGAGCGTGTAGCATTCATAGTTTTTGCCTTGTACCCCCCTCTCTCTCATGCTTTCTCTCACCCACTCTCACTTAGTCTCCCTTCTTCCCTGTCTGCCGCAGCAGTAGAAGGCAGATTAGCTCATGAATAAGTGGATTAGCAGACTTTGCAGCAGGAAACCAAAGTGCTGCTCATATTTGACTAGAACGACTCGACGCTGCTATCTATACCTATAGTCTCCCCCGTGGGGATTTAGCATAAGCTATAAATCCTTACACACTCCCACCACCTCGCTGGAAAAAGAGTGGCGCTCTTCACAGTCATTGAGCTAGACTAGCCTAATTACAGTGAGTATTTTTGATTGCACTCCATGTTAATATTTGTCATTAGAGGAACTTCAAAGGTAGTGGAAACATGGCACAGACTGGTCACAGCAGCAGGACAAGCAAGCTCTATTCGGTTAGGATGGTCCCAACTATCCCAAAAAGATAAAAAGCCCAAAAAATTGATAAAAAAGGACGTCCATGTAAAACCAGGTGAAAGCAGGTAGAGGGCACTTAACATCAGCGCAGACTCTTGCTTGGTCCGTCCCTCTCAGCGTGGTAGTTTGCAGTGGAGTCTGGAGTCCAAGGGATGCTGGTTGGATGCCCAGCAGGGGATGAGTGAACATGGCAGTCAGCAGCAGGATACCAGAGTGGTCTAGTGAGCGTGAGTGCTGGAGCCACACTTTATGTGTTCCTCTGTATATTTTTTAGGGAAAGAAGAAGAAGCGGAAGAGGGAGAAGATGCAGGAAACAGCCACAGGTAAGCAACGATCCCCCCAGTTCCTTCTCTTTTTTTTTTTGTCTGTTGCATCTTGAATTTGTGAGTTGCACCATTTTTCCATAGATTACACATCATCTTTTACAGTATACTGCTGCATTTTTACTAAGGCACACTCTGTAAAGCTGTAACAAAACAACAAATCTCCCAGTAGAACATGCCCCTAAAAAAACTGGCATGTAGACGCATACCCTAACCAAACTAATGTCCTCTACTGTCCTCATTCTGGCTTCAGTAGACTGGCTTGATTCTGTGCAGGCAGCACAGTTCTTCACTCAGTTTTCTTATAGACTTTCTTTGTATACATCCCTCCATCCATTTGTCCCTTACCCCTCTCTCATTCCCTGTCTTCACATATTACACCTACTTTGGGATTAGTCTGTCCATTTTATACGAGTCCTTACCGATTCTGGGCTTTGCACTATTTGTTTGCCTGCTGCTCTACAGTATGTCTTTCTGCTGACCTTGTTTAGCTGCGCTTATGAGCCTCCTCCTCAGCACTGCCACTGTAATCCATTGAGAATTACATCTTAAGTAAAATGTCAGTATTTTGGGGGGTCTGTACACTGTGCAGGCCAGATGGATGGTAAAGATCTATACCGTCCAGATACCTCAAATTTTATTTTAAAAAAGATGCAATTTTCTGCAGGTACAGGCCAGAGAATGAAAACGGCGTACATCTGAGAAAAATGGTAAGACAAAACCTCTATCCCCTCCATGTCTGATTAGTTCACTATATGTCAAGTCTTTTGAAACTGCTAAACACTGACTTGAGAGTATGTATTCACAGACTAATCCTAAAAAAGGTCCACCCTAACCTTGCCATAGTCATTGTGTCAGCGGTGTTAAGGCCTGAGGAGGGATTGTGTTTTGTGTGCGGAGTGTGCTCAATGGCCTCACCACAATAGGCATTGGATTTTCTGTGCGTGTGTGTGTGTGTTTGTGTGTGTGTGTGTGCGCCGAACTTCTCAATCCAATGTTTTTGTGTTGTGCACTGGTTGGATGAAAGGTCGGATGTTGTGTCAGCAGTTTATGGCTTATTTTTCTTCAATCATGAGTTAGAAAAATGTCCAAATAAAAAAAAAAAGGGGGTTTTGAAAACTATTGCTTAATAAATCAAACATCCACTTAGTGATGTCTAAACATGGACTAAATAATACATCTGAGAACAGTTTTACTAGCCCAGAACATTTTTTTTTTTACTGCTGGTTTAAAAAAAGAAGATTTCATCTCATTCCCATATGGACTACATGTGTTGTTGTCTCTGCATCTTTGTGAAGCAGAGGAGGATTCAGCAGCTTGTTTGGCAGGAACTTAATGAGATGCTATACCGTAATAAGATTTCATGGTATCTGGGGTTTCAGGGTGACTATAATGCCTATATAACAAAAGCACTCCGTAGTCGTCTTTTTTTTTCTTTGGTAAATGATATGTTGAGATTAAGAATATTGATTCAGATGACATGTCAAACCCTCACTGAACTGTCACCTGCCTTTTTTTGTTGCTGTTTAAAAAAAAAAAAGGGAAAAAAAAGGATTAATGTTCCCAGTATGTGGCAAAGGCAGCTCTGTTTTCCCTCTTTCAGTCTTCTTTACTCTCTCTGGATCTTTTCTGCTTTCTCTCTCCTTCCCTTCCTCTCCCTTGCCTGTGAGAGTCTGGCAGCATCCTGTTGTTCCACTCCCTTTTCGGCAGAAAAAGCCGGGCAGATGTGACAAATCTGGTCTTACTTCGAAATCACCCCAACCAAACAAAGGTTTTCCACTTGATCGATTCCTGACCCCGGTGGCTCTCTCTGCGCCCAAAATTGGGCCGCTTTTTTTCCGCCTTTTCTTTTTAACGCCACAGTCGGCTTTCAAAGCGCAGAGAGAGTGAGCGCTAAAAAGCACTTTATCTCTGATCCAATAATTAGCAGCGCCTAGCCGCAGCGGGATGGACACCCTTGCTGATTCTCAGTGACAGCCTTAAACTAATATGCATAATACCAAGGATACTGCCACAACTCCCCAAGCCCTCAATTTATGCAGATCCCAAAGAGCTGGATTGAGGTTAGCTCGGTGTAGACGCCAAAAAGCATCTTTAAATGAAGTCGTTTGTCTATTTCTTTTCATCTGCCCTAGCCTCTACCCCATCTGTCTCTCCTCTATATGAAGAATCTGAAAGGAAATTTGTTAATGAGTTAAATTTTGAAGACACAATTCGAACACTTTTTTTGTATGATGGTTCACGCGCAGTGAACATTTGCTCCGTTGGATTATATTTTTAGCACTTGTACAGTCATAATGAAGAATATTCAGCATAACGGATGGAATTGCTTCAGTCTAGGTAGGTTTTAATGAAGGGGGAAAATGACTAAATATGTTCATATTATCATATTTTATGGCTTGGGTTGAGTTTTTCTGCCTTTGAGGCAAACCAGGAGTTGAGTGTTTTTCGAGTAGTGTTTTATGGTTCGCCATTGGTTCTCTTTTGTTATCTTTAGCATGTCAAACACTGGGCCCGCCACACAGCTGGCTCTCACCACAGTGGAACAGCACTCTGAGAAGTCATTACTCTGACAATGTGAAATGAGGGTTTCCGTCTCTTCCTCCTCGTCACGCCATGCCTGCACTGGCTGGAAATGTGCAGTTCTGCTCCACCTTCCTTCGCTGTTTCTGTGCCATCTTTATTTTGTTTCTATCTCTTTCGCACTTCCTCTCGCGCCGTTTTAGCCTTTTGTCTGACTAAAGCACGCCAATTCACAGCCTTTTGAGATTCCTATCTGGCTGAGACACATACATGCCCTTGAGGCTTTCTGCTGTTTCAGCCACTGCACTTTTGTTTTCACGGTGGGGAGACTCTCTTAACAAAAGTGGCCTTTTAATCTGACTAGAGTGGGCCATGGAGTTGCAAACACTTGCAAACTGCCATTAAACTGCATGTGAGTCATCTTGCTCAGACTGTTATGAGGGTGCTCTTTTGATGGCAGGCAAAATGGATGTATTTTAAAAGTCAATTTGCCCATACACTTGTGTGTGTGAGGTTGTGTTTGTAATCCTGCGATCCAGGATATCTTGGTATTGGTAACTTGGTATCTTGGTTTTTAAATGATGCTTTACAATTGCTAGTCTGGTGCGTGCATCGAAGGTCATTTCTAACCACAGGTCCTGGTCCAGAAACATGAAAGGAAGTGTTGTTCAAGTGGGGGCTTTGGTGGCTACTCTCTCTGCTCCCTCCTCTCTGTCTCAGTTGTGCCCCGGCTCTGCTCCCTCTGATGTGTGCAGCCAGAAGTCAGCTGTCAAAAGACTTTGTTGAGCGAGCAGGGAAGACGAGGAGGAGGGCATGAGTGCGTTTCGGGGAAAGGGAGGGTAAGAAAAGGGCCAGAAGAAAATCCCTCATTCTCTCGAGTTCTGAGTTTACCCAATCTCACTCGACTGCCACTCATCCTTCAGTCTCCATCCCTCATTTCTCTTTTTTTTGTATTTGTTGCTCTCATCTTCTCTCTCTGAAACCTTCATCACTCTCTGCACATTTCTCTGTCTCTCCAACACACACACACACACACACACAAACCCACACACACACACACACACACACACACACACACACATCTGAGCAGCCAGCCACACTTTTTGCCTGCAATTAAGCAAGATTCAGCGTCTGCCTCTATTTCCCGAGTCATTTCAATTTGGCACCAAGCCTCTAGGCCACTGCGGCACAGCCCAGTGCCTCCACACCCCGCATTATTAGTGACCTGGGATAATTGGGGAAGGAATCCGAATCACAAAAAAAAAAAAACTGACTGGATTTCACTCAGCGCACAGGAGATGAGAGGATGTTTTTAAAACTGTACTTCTTCACAAAAAATATTAAGAAAGAAAGCAATAGTTATGAGTGGGAGGTGGGGGAGAGAGTTTTGGGCTTAAATCTGAGTTACGCCCCGGCTAATGTTTCTGCGGGTAGGAAGTAGAATCGGAAATGTTCACCCCCGCAGTCCTCCCGTTCTCTCACTCCCCTGACCTCCACAAAGCCTACTCTGTGAAGAAAAATGACCCTCTCAGCACTTAGTACATGGACTTCCAGAGGGTGGCAGTGTGTCAAACTCAGTGTAATTGAAGCTCGCATATGTGGTTTTAGCTCAAAAGTACAAATCTTTTACACTGACGTGGTTGTGTTATCCTGGCCTGGTAACCTTATTTGACACTTTAAGAGAGAAAAAAAACATTAAGTGGGGGGTATAACCCTCTCTAAAGGTCTCTGTTTACATGGGAGAGAACGCAGCTATAGTGCTCCCACTGTTTAGACTGGGGCTTGAAATTTGTTTTGATTGAGTCATGGGCCTATTGTGTCGTGGTTTGGCCAGCTGCAGAAACAGTATGAGGGTCCAGTCTCTTGTTTTTTTGTGATGTCTTCTCCACTTCCTCTCTCTTGGTCTGAACCCCCCCCTCCCCCCTCTCCCCCCTGTGGCTCCTTGAGGCAGTGCAGCCCTTTTTCAGAAGGGGCGGGAGTTATGTGGCCTCATAAAACACTGCCCTCGTGAGATGCATATCTCTGAATGAAAGCCCCCAGGTAACACAGGGGCACAGACAGGAAGAGGACAGTGGGGCTTAAGGAAGCGGTGTTTATTTTTATTTCACTCTTGTCAGTCTGGCCATTGGAAAACCTCTCCCTCAGCTCTATCTTTTCCCCCTTCTTTCACTAATTTTGCCTAATTTTTGCCTCTTTACTCCCTTCTTTCCTTGCTCCTCCTTTTCCTGCTCCTCTCCTCTGTCCTGACTGGTGAATATGAGTGGCGGTGGGTGGAGGCCTTTGAAGCGAAACCACAGCAGAGGGAGCAGTCATTGTAAGCAGTCACCCCCCCCATCCCATCCCATCCCAACCTCCCCCGGGCTGCAGTGGCTCAGACTGAGCTGTGCAGGGGCACCCAGCCAGTCTTCAACTGCCCGGGCCCCCAGCGATGCCGCTTCAGATGTGGGCAACGCCTCCCACTACCTCCCCCCTCCTTCCACACTCTCCTGTACTCCCCTAGTCTCACCCACACATGCCTGAGGTTTGGGGTTTTGGTGACTCCCCCCTCCCCTTTCCCCTTTTAACCACCATCAGACCCCACCCTTCCCTTCTCTCCAGTATTTAACACATACCCTGTCTTCCCTCTTTTTTCCCTTCACTTGTTTAGTTTCAGCCCCTCCTGACTGATTTGATAGTTTCTGATAGCCCCTGTAAAAAATATACGTCCCCTGAGCCTAGCTTTTGATTGGAGGTTAAAAATATCAAAGCTTTCTTTTTTTTAAAGGTGCTGTTACTTTTATGTTGAATGTCTCAGAGCCAAAGAAAGAGCTGACGGTGCAAGCATTTTGTTTCAAACATCGCTTTGTCTTCCAGGTGCTTTTTTTTTTTTTTTATTGGCCTGCTCATTTTTTTTTTTTTTTGCCCCTTGTCTTTAAAAGCGGCACTGCAACACATTTATAGAGAGAAGTCTCCTTTTTGAAAAGGTGTCATCAAAGCCTGCTGTGCGATCCAGTCCAAGGTCACTGCCAAGACACGCTGCCGCACCAGACTCTAATCTGAGTGTGTGGACAATTACTTACTAGAGCTTGCGAGTCTGTTAGTCTGAGCCAGACTGAACGGACCTCGGCGGATGATGTAACAAAGAGTTGGCACAGGGTTTGCTGGATCTCAGGTTGAAATTAAAGAGGCCACGGTTTCAGCATTCATCTACACAATATGAAAGAAACTTACAAAAATATTGGTTTTGTTTCTATCTGAACCAATGACATTTATCAGCCATGGTTCATCAATCAGAATCAATCATTTGGTTGATGGTCAGAAAGTTAATTGCAAACAAATTTGCATTTTTGCTTGTTAGTGACTTAAAAGTGCCCCAAACATTCACTGGTTTCAGATGATTGTCTGTTTTAGATCATATAAATAGGAAATCTTTGGGTTGTTGACTGTTACTTTTCAGAATAAAGTTGCCCTTCACAATTTCCTAATCGTTTGACTAAACAATCAAACAATGAATTGAATAATTGACAGATGAATGGAATATCATTAGTGAATCTCTCCAGAGTGGGCTCAGTAGTGTCTATCGTATTACGTGCAGCCCTGCATGTGAACCAATTTTTTAGTAAGTCAGTAAGAACATTTTTTCGCACTGATATTTAATTTACATTACATTACAATGTAGGTGTCATTTTCCTAATTTTGGTCCTTCCTTTCCTATCTATAACAATAAGACTGTACTCACTATGTTAATTGCCTAGATGTGATAACGCGGGAAGATTGCTGAAAAAGAAGTCCAATGGCGCAAGAAATATGTGCAGTCTGACGATCAGACAGTAAAATGACGACTCAGGCTGTGTTATAAACATCCGTCACGGTTTATCAGACCAACTTCCTTGTTCGACCTGCTGTACAAATAAAGTTGTGCGCACATCGTTCCAGTGCAATGAGGAATAATTACTTAAATTGGAGATGTGTTCAGTTTCACCTTCAAATAAAGTGTCTTAGATAATCAGACTGAGCTGTTGACTGTTTACAACCTGTCTAATCATCTGACTGCAGTTGTTTGTTGCCCTGTCTGACTTATTTTTAGTGATGTCACAGTGTTCCTAGATATTAACAATAAACGTGGTGACTACAATGTTATTATAACATGATAAAAATCACGGCCAAAACTACAGAAATAAGATTTAAACTGTAATAAACTACATTAATCTTTTAAGAAGACTCTGACACATCTTTCTTTACTTGCATTGCTCTCTATCTCTCTCTTTTCAGTCCCTCGCTCTCATTTCTCCTCCAAAGCTCCCCACTCTCCTCTCTGCCATGGTAAAGTCTGCGCCTCAGCCTGTGCTGGAGACACCTCTCTCCACTTGGCTTATTTTTAGAGTAATTTGTTGGCGGTGTTTTCCTTTTTAATGGCACCAAAAGCAACCCCAAAGCTGCGTGTAGGGAGAGCGGGAGCGGAGGAGGTGGGTGGGTTTGGAGGTTAGGGGGCATAAGGCAGGCGGGCCCCAGCTGTGGGTGCTTTGATTTGGCCTGGGAGGTGAAAGCGGCGATTGAGATGCAAGGTTGTGCCAGTTATCTTAACCTCCCACACTTCAAAAGCGGGGCCAGAGCTTGTCCGACTCCTTCCCCTACTCCCTCCCTCCTTCTGCCTCGTAGAGGGAAAGGAATTGGGAGGGTGGGGGCTAAACCTTCGCTAGCCCTCTGAACAGAAGAGCGTTTCATTTCCTGCAAAAAAGTCCAGCCGGCATTCCTGAGCACTAATGTAGAAGGAGGAGGAGATGGAGGGAGGTGAGGGGAGAGGAGGGGGGTCAAGTTGCTCCTGAATCCCAGTGTTTGTGTCAGCTGGACCTTGTGAAGAGCTGGCCTGGTGCCCCCTACAACCAACCACCACGCAAGTACACACCCCTGCTGTTTTTTTTGTTCGTTTTTTTTTTTTAACATTCACGCACACACACGGGCGCGCTTCTCGCCCGCAGCCCCTCAGGCCTCTTCCCCAGGCAGGAAGGCCAGCGCTTTTCATGTCTGTGGTGGGGGAAGGAAAAATGCTCCCCAGGAAACAGGGTGCAGTGCCGGGCGTGCGGCCCTGCTTTAAGATCCTGGGATGAAAAGAGAGAGGGCGGCGGAGGTAAATAAAAGCGACAGGGGCTCTCCTCTTTCTCTCCAAGCGCTCTGCTCCTTTCAGTTTCAGCTCTGTGCAGCACAGGGTCAGCTCTCCTCGGGAAAGGTGGCCTCTGTCCTGTTCCCTTTTATCCACATGTGGTAAAGCAGTCTGCAGGGTGTGTGCGTGTGTATGTGTGTGTGTGTGTGTGTGTGTGTGTGTGTGTATTAAGACTTTGGAGTGTTAAGATGCAGCGAGCAGCAGGGCTCAGCTGACTTCTCTCCTACAAAAACACACTCTTGGCTTTGCCACAAGGGAAAAGCAAACTAATACCGTTTCTTTTCCTTTTTTCGTCTTCACAAAACATCCATATCTTTTTAGTCGCAGGAGGCATCCATCCACCTCTGTCTCTGCCTCTCCACTTTGATCACAGATTCTATTTGATGCTGCTCGGGTCTAAAATAACTCTCCTTGGCTTGTCAATAACTGAAGCTAACTCTGTTATGTTAGCTCAAGCCCGGATCACGAGAGGGAAAAGAACACTTTTGCAGCTTGACAAACAGTTTCCCTGTCAGGGAAAGGGGCCAATTTCACGAGAGTCCTGTGAAGTAGATTGAGCAGTCAGGTAACATTTTTACACCACGGCGTCAGCCTGCACCTGAACCGCTTTGACTCCAATAATTACCAACATAGTCCCATGAACCCTGCTTGTTTTAACCAACTGGGTCAATATGGCGAATCCTCCCTGTGTGGAGAGCATTTCCTCGTCTTGTTTTCCCATCGCCCACCTGCAGCGGCAGCCTAAATGTCAACCAGAAGCCACACAATTGGGTGCTCATCTTGAGAGAGTGAGAGGAGGAATGAGTCAGTCAGGGGAGGGCAAAGAAGACCCGAGCACTGCCAGCTGGGTCACTGCAACCCTCATGTTGGACTAGATCAAAGCAAGGCCGGCCCACATCCTGTCACTGACCTATACCCCCCTCTGTAGTTCAGTGCTTTGCTCAACACTGCTGCAAAGGCTTTCATTCAATCAGCTGTAAGACTATGAAGAAAAGGAAAGATTGATTATGTAGATGGTAATGGCAGCAATTTGTCCCTCCCTGAACCGGGGTAGGCGTGCTTGCATGATGAGACACTCTGGAGTCATTCTGAGTCATCTTGATATGTCTGGTTGTGGTTAATGTGACGTGAATGTGACCAGTGTTTGGTATGGGTTACTAATGTGTTTTTAAATTATTTCCCCCCCTTCACTGATGAGGACCAGCAGTTTTTTTTTTCTTTTTAATTTTTTTTGTATACAGCTGAAGTTACTTCATAGTTTGTGTGGCTGATTTCTTTTGTTCATGTCTTTCTGTTTTTTCTTCAGGAGGAAAACGTAACAATTTCTCCACATGCAAAGCAAAGGCAGCAGCTACGGGCCCTCTGCTAGAGATGGAGGCCTGTTAGATTCCATGAAGACCCTTAAATCTCCAAACTGACGCCTCCAGTTCTCAGAGGACCCCTCCCCTCCCTCTGACCCCACCCACACATCCCTCCCAACCCCACCTAACCTTATTCCCTCTCCTTCAGCACAATCACATGCCCCCACCACCACCACCAAAATTACTTCACTGTTTGATTCTACTCCCTTCCTGAAGGCGCCTGCTGTAGACACTGAACTGAACAAGACAATCATGATTAGTAAGGAGCACCCTCACACAACCACGTTCTCACCGAAACTCCAGATAACATCAAATTTGACGTCTGTGTTTTGTCAGTTTCCTTTACAATCAGCTTTACTGCAATCCAAGGCACTGCACTGAAAAACGGCAGCAATTTTGATGTGCGCACAAACTTCACCACTGCACCGCCCGAACACCTTTTTCTACGTTACTGTAATTTATTTGTCACCTCGGTTCCTTTTGTATAGTTCACCCCCCCTCCCCCAATGTCTGTCTCTCTCTCTCCCGGATTTTTGAGACCATTTGGGATTTCGCCCGACCGACCAAACACCTCTTTTTAGACTGCACTAAGGAAGATGGAGTGATCTCATCTCGTCTAAGAAACGTCCTCAAGATGCCATTTTAGCTTGTTGCTGACCAGTTGGTGCAAAAAAGGATCAACATTTTGATTTGCTTTTCATTTCAGACTGAGTTTTATTTTATTTTGAATGCTTTTTTTGTATCTTGAACCCTTGTTTCAATTTCTCGGTGTATATTTTAGTGATTTTTGTTTTTTTAAATATTGTTTTTTTTTATATATATAGTGGTATATATGAAAATAAGCTTTGGACACAGGAAAGCCATTTTTCTTGTTGAAGCGTCTTGCAGAAAATTGAAACTTAAGGCTTCTTTTGATAACTATTTGTAACAAATAGTGACCTCGAGTCTTGCTCAGATGTAAAATAATGCTCAGTATGTGTACTTTTTAAAACTGTCAGGATATGTCACTTTTCTTGGTATTTTTGCAGGCAACATTAGGACAAAGGCGAGAGTGGTAGCTCAGAGGCCTATATTTATTGTTCTAAAACATGACAAATGAAGCAGATATATATATTTACCCCAGCACTTGGCAGTCTTTCTTTTATTGCAATGGACCTTTGTCTTTTTCTCTCTGGTAGCTAATAGTGTGGTCTTTAGCCATGTTGTTTATTCCATGCAAGCATCTCTGTAACATTTTGATTTTAATGCTCTATTTTAGTATTACTTGATGAATTCCTTTTCTTTTATTATCATATTTTGGGTCACTGTCATCTTGGTATAGCATTTTGCTTCCCAAGTGGTCATATTTGAACTGTTTCAACATGTTTTTGTTTTTTGTAAGAAAAATAAAAAGGCACCATTGGCTCATTTGATCACTTGTGTGGTGTAAAGACCAGAGCTAGATGTGCCAGATGTAATGGTCTGTGTCATCCTTGGAGATTATAATGTAAGTATGCAAAGATGGTACTGCTATATATTGGTGTTGAAAAACACATTGGCTATAACATGTTTAGTCTTTGTGGAAACTTTAAAAAGCTTAAAAAACTGACAAGCAATTAAAACTCCAGAAGCACACAATGCTTGAGGCTACATTGATACAGCGTTATTGCAGTGATAATGAAACTCAATTTAAAAACAATTGTGAAAACAATTAAAAACTCTTAAGGTAACAATTGAATTCATTTTTGATGAATGAGCCAAGATCAAAGGAAATTCTATTTATAGTCCAATTCTGTGTTGTTATTTCCAGTAAAACAGCACCACCTTGTGTTCCTGTTGGGTTAACAGGGAAGAAACCAAGTGGTATGGCTGAACATTTCCAAAGCGGTAGAAAATATCTGACATGCACAATCTGAATGATGCCCTTTAGCCTTTGCCTTGATTTGGATAAAACTCATCAATTACCCATTAACATGGACAGAATTAACAATACAAAAAAGCTATAGTATAATATAAAGTACATTAAAGTTGCCCTCCACTCAAATGTGTTTTGCTTATTGTTACTTCACTTTGATGTTTGACCTTCACTGTGCAGTTTCACATTCATCTGCTGGAGGAGGTGAACGTTTCTCACCTTAAATATCAGTTTAAGACATGGAGGTACACCACAACTAGTCTGGAGGCCAATTGTGGTCAAAGATGCAACTTCCACAAGTGTGATAAGGAAACCTGTACTCGCCAGGTCAGTGCTCTTACACTGAAAATGGGCTGGAAGGTTCACAATGTTTCAGGTCTGTCAACAAACTACTCATGTGCCCTTACGAACATTGAAACAGGTTTTGCTTTCTGTAATCCTTCCTCCTGTTCATTCTGGTCATTAAAATACCCATTTCAATGTATGTGATGGGGTATTTAAAAATTTATATGAAGGTACAGTGGAAGGATAGCAAAACAAAAAAACTGTACTAAAGAAAATGACTGGACGATAGCCACTTGATTTTTAGACAGCTGAACGGATGGAGGACTGTCCATTCTGCCTCATCTCCTCCATTTGAAGCATGTTAGGAAGGGATCTCTTTAAGATTCCCTGTGGAGTGTGACCTCTAATGGTTGTTTCGTTTGTTGTGCACGGACTCGAGGCCTTTCTCATTTCCAAAATTTGTGCCTCCTCTGCTCCTTGCACAGCGTCTTAGTCCCTCCCACCCGAGATTCAAGCTCGAGGAGTCGACGCGAGGAGAGAGGAGTAGAAGCGGCACAAATTTGGGAAATGAGAAAGGCCCACAAGCTCCATGACACAGTGCATGCTCAAGCCAGTGGTTTCCGCTGATCAACAGGTGGTGGTAACGCACCAACATGAGCAGCAACGTGCTAGCAAAGTCAGGGGCGAGGAAGATGACAACTGGCTAGTAAACCTGGATGAACACTTTACAGGTTTTAAAATGTAAAAGTGCTTGCAAATGTTTTATGAGGAAGGAAATGCATTTAACAGATCTGTTAAAGCTCAAAAGATGCACATGATGCATTTTGGTAAGTAACACTGAATGTAAAGTGTAAAAGCTGACTATTGCACTGATTGGCACAACCAGTTCATATTGAAAGTTTATCTTACATCTCAGTGATATTGCAAAATACGAGTTTGTGCTATTTTTGAACTGATGCTGGTACATATAAGAGGCATGTTATGTGTATCTGCAAAGCACGCCAACAACAAGAACAGACACCAAGTATTTGAAAAATCTATTTATTAGTCTCTTCACACATATAAAGACATCATTCAGTGGACCGACAGACAGAAGTCGACTAATGTAGAAGGCACAGGAATCCTTTCCATTTCTGATCAGTCCTTGTTGGATGGCTCATTTTATGAAGTTTGACTAGTGTATACCCCCAAAACAAGCAACACTGTAAAACCAAATTACTTGTACTTGTAGAATCCTTCTCCTGTCTTTTTGCCATATTTGCCCTCTGCAACCAACTTGTTAAGCGACTCACTCTGGGCAAAGAGTGGGTTGTCGGGATCCATTGCGCTCCAGCCTGAAGATATGCAATAACAAAAGGAGCAGTATTTTACATTTAATCTAATCAGATCATTCAAATTAAGTTTGTTTCTCCTTCCTTGCAGCAGTTTTGTCGTATCACACTTTAAATTAAAAGGCATCACAGTATATATATATATATATATATATATATATATATATATATATATATATATATATATATATATATATATATATATATATATATATATATATATAATATATATATATACACACACACACACACACACACACAATATTTACACTATATTTTCCACGTAGTTTTACTCACCATCAATGATGAACTTAGTGGTGTCTAGTCCTACGTAGTCCGCTAGTTCAAAGGGTCCCATCGGGTAACCTGCACCAAGCTTCATTGCAATATCAATGTCCTCTTTGGATCCATGACCTGAGGAAAAAAACATGGTAATACAACATAATGGTAACCAAAGCAGTGCTGCAGAATCAAAAAATAAAAAAAATATTTTAAAAAAGGAAAATGAATTGGAGCCCCATTGCATGATAGTGAAACATGAACACGACATCAGAGAAAGGCAAGCACAGATACATTAAACCCCCCCAAAAAAGGACAGATTATTTTACAGTCTTGCGTTTCCACTTTAAATCCCAAAGAAACATAATTACGGACACTATCGTGGTGAATGATCCCGAATCACAAACTATGGCGATCTTACTATTGACATAACTGGTGCTCATGCTGGTATACATACCCCTCTCATGCAACCGGATGGCCTCCAGCATGTAAGGAACAAGTAGGCGGTTTACAATGAATCCTGGTGTATCCTGAATAAAGACACATTGGATGCTGCTGAGTGGTCTATTAAATATATTTTAAGTGAATACAGCTATAATGGCATCAGATCGTACCTTGCAGGACACTGGAGTTTTTCCGAGCACTTTGCTGAAGTTCAGGAGGGAATCAAACGTCTCTTGGCTTGTTGCTGAGGTTCCAATGACCTATGAAAGATGAATAACAGGACAACACAAGGAAAACAGAATGACTGTTACACACACAGTTTGGAAATCCCCTGTCCACTTAGTCACTGAGGTGCTGCAATGTCGGGGTCCTCAACTGACGCGTGCTGCAGGCATTGGATGTGTGAAGCACAGTCCAATTACAATGTCCAGATGTTGACCTTTACTTTTGCTGTTCATTTATTGCTTACAGGTTCTTGAACTCAGACAGCACATCAATCACACATTTACCAAATTTGAACCACTGCTACACCACCTGCAGACCACGGTCACAGTTAAAAACACTGAACGCCTCATCTGGCATGCAACACACCTGACTACATTACACTTCCTGTATAAATGCTGTCTCAGTACTGTCCAAAGTGTGCAAAAAGTGAATAGTGCAGTGGATAAGACACATGCCCTTGGTGTGGGTTCGAATCCCACTGCAACCACCAATGTGTCCCTAAGCAACACCCCTAGTTGCTTCAGAGGCTTTAACATATATAGCAATTGTAAGACGCTTTGGATAAAAGTGTCAGCTAACTGAATGTAATGTCAAAATAAACATCAACTCAAAAAAATAGCCTCTTACACAAACACACCCACGGCCGTAACAATGAATATAGGACAACAGTTTAGTCAGGGAACAAGAGAACAAAGTGTGCTGTCAGGTGATGATTTAAATAAACGTATGCTAATACTAAAAATATTGCTACCTTGGCCACCACCAATACTACCACTACTAATAAACAGTACTAAAGTAATTTTTCAATACTGTAAATATTTTTTTTTACTGGAAGTTAGAGATATTTACCACTCTTATGTCTGTATGCAGCCAATTAGCTTAGCTTAGCACAAAGACTGGTGCTATGTCTCAATTCAGATACATGTAGTACACTGTGTACACTATGTGCTTACTTGCATACTGCATAAATTTCAACAACGTAGTGTTGTCTCCGGTCAAACACGGTTGTTTCACACTTGACGATTGCATCATTTGGCAGGTTCTTTTTCTTTTAAACGGCAAATGCAACCGGACAGATCCTTCCCTCCAAACAAACCGATTACACACTGACGGCTCCTATCAGACAACAGTATAGTGCTATTTAGTGGGGGGGGGGGAAACAGTGTGAAGCTTCCAGTCAGAGAACTGAGGGCACCGAAGTCCCTAAAACCTGCATTATATCGAACGACCAGCAGGGGGGCGACTCTTATGGTTGCAAAAAGAAGTCCGATTCCATTAGAAATAATGGTAAAATGACCCTACTTCTCACCGGATTTATTACCTCAGTAAACACTTTCCTAATGAGTTTATGGTCTCAATCGCTAGTTTCATGTCTTCTTCAATACAAAATGATGTTCATTAAGTAAATTATGGTCCAATTTAGAGGAAAATAGACCATAAAGCAGGGATTATCTGTCATTGACAAGTTGTTACCATGGCAACCTGTCAATCAGGCTAGAGTAACTTGTACACACAGCACTGTGTAAATTTGAAAAAGCTTAAAATTGTCAGCCCTGTTAAAATGACAGTTAACGTGAATTACAGATGCACCTAGCTAAGCAAGCTGGCTAGCTCAACACACGGCCATTAGCTCCACCATCACGTGCAAACACGGTCATGTCTGGTGCCCTATCTGCCAAACTCGAGGCTTCAAAATGGCAGTCCACAAACCAACGGGTGACGTCACAATGACTACGTCCACTTCTTATATACAGTCTATGGTCCAAGCTTACCAAACCCCCTACCAACAACTCACTAATAAACATGTTGCATCTCATTTGTTTAATCTATAACAAAAAGATATAAGATAACATATAATGTGTCAATGAAGGAGGTGCTGCAAGGCAGAATTTGTTATTATTAGATAGCTGTTTCCCCGTTTCCAGTCTTTGTGCTAAGCTAAGCCAAATGGCTGATTTGGGTAGCTTTGTATTTACCATACAGACATAAGAGTGGTATCATTCATTTCCACTGTCAAATAAGCATATTATAAATCTCCTTTAACCCCCCCCCCCCCCATCCCACTAGTAGTTCAATGTCAGGTAAATCAATGAACTGTTATTTATTATTTTAAACAAGCAAATATATTTGTTTTTAAGCATTTTGACATTACTTCAAATGGAGTTATGCAATATGATTTTCACCCCACCTCTACAAGCTTCATCACAGGGACCGGGTTAAAGAAGTGAAGGCCGCCAAATCTGTCCAGCCTGTTGGTGGAGCTGGCGATGTCAGAGATGGGCAGAGAGGATGTGTTGCTGGCAAAGATGGTGTGTCTAAAATACCAAGTGCAGAAAGATAGACAGCATATAACACAATATATGGACAGCTGTCAATAATAATGTGCTATTCAGAACTTTCCATTTGAACTTGTTTTTAAATACTTACAACTGAAGTAGGAACACACACACACACACACAGCACCATGACAGGCAGAACAAACAGCAATCAAATGTTGCTTCTAGTTGGCATAAAACCCTTGCTACACTTTTGCTGCACTTGCTTATAAACACACATAAAATTAATGATACAGACATGGGACGCTGCTTACGCTGGTGCCAGCTTGTCAAGCCGACCAAAGAGATCCTGTTTGATTTTTAGATTTTCCACAATGGCCTCCAACACAAGATCCGAGCCCTGAACAACAGATCCAGCATCTGTTGAGACTGACAAATTCTGCAGGACTTTCTGGATGAACTCTTCACCTGCCTGAAACAAAAAAGCAATATCTCACATTAATTTCACTCTTATTCACTGTTTTCTTTGGTCTGGTGTCCTACTGTGTCTCACCTCTGGCTTATCAGCAAACTTCTTCTTGACCACTCTTTTAAGGCTCCCTTCAATTCCTTTGACAGCCTTTTTAAGGATGTCGTCACTTGTGTCCACCAGCGTCACCGTGTGGCCAGTTGATGCAGCAACCTTTCAGAGAGAAATCAGTTTAAGATAACTAGATACATATGTATCAATATCAGTTATGTTGAGGTGGAATACTGTTCACACTGTTCTTTGTAACTGCTGCTCGTGATTATAGTGGAGGATAGTGGCTGCCTGTCTTCTCTGGCTTAATAGCAGGCAGTCTCAATAAGGACCTAAAACAGCAAATGTAACCAGAAACCAGGGATGTGTAAAGTAGGGCTGCAACTGACGATAATTGTCATTGTTGATTAATCAGTTGATTATTTTTTTCTGATTAACTGATTAGTTGTTTGGTCTATAAAATGTCAGAAAATGGTCAAATAATGCCGATCAGCGTTTCCCAAAGACCAAAATTATGTCTTCAAATGTATTGTTTTGTCCACAGGAGGGAAGAAACCAGAAAATATACACATTTATGGAGCTGGAATCAGAGAATTTGTCTTTGTCTAATTGGTTATCAAAATAGTTAGTTAGTTAGTTATTAATTTAATAGTTGACAACTAATCCAACGTCACCGATTAATTGTTGCAGCTCTAGTGTAAAGATACTCAAAAAAGTCAGTATGCACATTGAAAGATTTTTGAGCATGCTGTTCATGAAGCACATTGCCAGCGGTGGTGAAACAGCTTGAGGAAGATCTTTGACAACAAAAAAAAGTAGGCCTGTTTCTACAAAAGTTAGTACAAAACAGTAAAGTAAATTGTCCGCTAAACACTTATTCTTACAGTAATTTTACTTAAGCACTCACAGTTCTTTTAGTGACTGCTGTTCAATCTCATAGTTGTTCAAAAGTTTTGGTAACTGACGCTACAGTACTTTAGCTTAGCCGTTAGCGACTTTAGCTTAGCAGCTAGTGATGGCTTCTCCCTCTCCCTCTCCCTCTCCCTCTCCTACTTTCTCCTGCTCGGTGTGTCAGATGTTTAGTTACTCCTCTGCCTCCTTTAGCTGTAATGGTACGTGTAATAAGTGTAGTTTATTTATAGACATGGAGGCGAGGCTCAGTGATTTAGAAGTCCGGCTCCGCACCTTGGTAGATCAGTCTTTAGCTACTGTAGCTAGCCAGTCCCCGGTAGTCAGTGCGGAACGGCCTGAGTTAGCCTCTGGTAGCCGTCCCCCGGCATCTCCTGTGCAGCCAGGAAGGGGTGGCTGGGTGACTGTCCGAAGGAGGAATAGTCGTGAGCATTCAAAGTCCACGGGGCACCATCAACCTGTTCACGTCAGATTTTCCCCATTCGGCGACACACTCGCTGAGAAACCTACTCTGATCATTGGCAGCTCCATTTTGAGAAACGTGAAGTTAGCGAAGCCAGCGGCCATAGTTAAGTGCATCCCTGGGGCCAGAGCGTGCGACATTGAGTCTTATTTGAAACTGCTGGCTAAGGATAAACGTAAATACAGTAAGATTGTTATTCACGTCGGCTGTAATGACTCCCGGTTACGCCAATCGGAGGTCACTAAGATTAATGTTGAGTTGGTGTGTACATATGCAAAAACAATGCAGGACACTGTAGTTTTCTCTGGACCCCTGCCAAATCTGACCAGTGATGACATGTATAGCCGCATGTCGTCATTCCGCCGCTGGTTGTCGAGGTGGTGTCCAGCAAACGATGTGGGCTTTGTTGATCATTGGCAGACTTTCTGGGGAAGACCTGGTCTGATTCAGAGAGACGGCATCCATCCCACTTGGGAAGGAGCAGCTACCTCATTTCTAGAAAAAAAGTTTATAAGTGGACCAAATCCATGACAACCCAGAGTTGAGACTAAGAGGCAGAGTCGCAGTTTAACACACTTCTCTGCTCCTCCATTCCAGGAGTTACTTAGTGAAAACCTCATAGTGGCGGTGTCTGTCCCCCCTCCATCGAAATTATTTAAATCAAAGGTAAACAGAAAACCTCATAAAAATTAAAACCACATGAGCAATAGTGCAAACTAATAGGAAAATTAAATGTGGACTCAGTGGGCTCAGGTGAGTCCTGAACCATCCCTTAGTTATGCTGCTACAGGCCTAGACTGCCGGGGGATTTCCTATGATGCACTGAGCTCCTCTCTCCTCTACTTTCTCTCCCTCTGTATGCAACCTCATCCCATTATTGCATGTTACTAACACAACTTCTCCCCTTTCCGGTAGTCTTGTGCTTTCTCGTCCCTCTCCTCTCTCCTCCTATCACTTCCTGCAGGTGTTTCTGGCTCTGGAGCTGTGGAGTCTGGATCTGTGGCTGCGAGTCACCTGCTGCCCCCGTGTTCCTGCTCGACACCCTCTGCTGCAACGACTATTGTTACTAGTCCTATTGTTATTATTGTTATTATTGTTATTATAACCATTAACATTACGATTGTTATCATTAACACTACTATACATATCTATACCATTTTTCATTTAGTCTATAGCAACATCACCTTTACTGTCTTTACCTTGTGTAGGCTGCCTCCCTCCCCTCTCTCTCCTTCCATCCCTCTCTTGCCCTCTCTCTCTCTCTCTCTCTCTCCCCCCTTCACCCCCAACCAGTCGAGGCAGATGGCTGCCCACCCTGAGCCATGGTTCTGCTCGAGGTTTCTGGCTCTTAAAAGGAAGGTTTTCCTTGCCTCTGTCGCCTAGTGCTTGCTCTTGGTGGGAATTGTTGGGCTTCTGTAAATAACATCATAGAGTACGGTCTAGACCTGCTCTTTTATGAAAAGCGCTGTGAGATAACTGTTGTTGTGATCTGGCGCTATATAAATAAAATTTAATTGAATTTAATTAAACTGATTTATTTGTACTGAACTGCGATACAGTATAGCAAATGGCATATTGTGGCATTGTATACCCTCATTGTATAAGTGGGACACAGCTGAAGTTCTCCAACAGCTGTTTACTGGATAACAAATTCAGAGAGCTACACTTTGTGGCAAAATGTGTACCGTCCCAAATTCCCTATAGTGCATCTGAGTTGAACCCTTCACCTGTCTTGTCTTTTATTATGTCACACCACAAGGAAAACAACGTTTAGTGATTGACATCCAAACTACACAACTCCTTTGTGGGATCAAAGGGCGATTGTGCTGTGAGATAAGAAAAAGCATTATCGAAGGAAATATGAAACTAAACTAGCCTAGATGATAGATGACTAGATGACAGGTAACACACAACATGTTGTCTTTTAGGCCCTGTCCACACGAACACGGGTATTTTCATAACAGCGACTTTTTCTACGCGGTTCGGGCCGTTCCTACACACACAAACGCAGTATCAGGTTGCTGAAACCGAACATTTTTGAAAACTCATGCCAGGGTGGGGATTTTCAGAAACGCTGGTTGCAGTGTTGTCCTGTAGACAAAAAAACCCGGGGGTTTTGCCTTGCGACGTCAGAGTGTACGCCGTTAACCCGCTGTGTCTGATGTCAGATTGCGTGCCACTGCCTGCTTTGTTTCCAATTTTATTAAGCTCCGATTGGCCAACGTGGCTTTACGGTTAGGGTCATATGCATATACTCCGCCAGGCCCGTGTGGACTAGGCACTAGGTAATCATTCATACAACTGAAATGGTTTCCAAAACATATTTGCAAGCAACGTTTTCACTTTTCAGTGTGTGCAAACAATAGGGAAATAATGTTTTCCTAGTTTAAAAGTCTCACAATCAGATTCTGTGACCCAAATGGTTAAGCGCCAGAGGCTTTGTTGATAATGTGAAGCGGCTGCAGTTAGTTAACTTAGGTGTAGGCACTAAAGGTAGGCTACTTGGTTAGGTTTAAGCACTGTGCGTTGGTCTACAGAAGAGGTGGGGAGAATTATGGTTTATGGACGTGTTTTCAAACACCCTGCGCGTTTCAGTGGGACCTCCCGTGTCTGTCTCCTCTCCAGCGGGGCTGTCAGCTGGCTAGCTATGATGCTAACCGCTAGTTACTTGCTAGTCGCTTACCTGTGCTATTCCTGCACCCATCAGTCCACCTCCGATGATTGTTACATGCTTTATAACAACATTCCTGACAGCCGATGACGAGAAACTTCTGCAGATTTGGTGAGTGAAGAAAGCCATGATGTGTCGTCTTGCTACGGACTTCAGGATCCCTTCGGGACATAAACAGCACCGTGCACCCAGTGAGAAGGGCAAACGGAAGAGCAATAGTGACGAGTCGGCCGCGAACAAGTCGGCTTTATGAGCCGGCTCCCGCCTAAGAGCCGACTTGTTTTTGCTTTTGTTTTTGTAAATGAATACAAGACAGAACAACAGGACAGGACAATCAAACATCACAGTATCAGTCAAGTATGGTGGGACTTGTGTATGTTGCGCCAGACAATAGTAGGCTCTAGTTGAATAGTTCAATATGAATATAAAAATTCAATACGCATGTCCAATAATAATATAACATATAATGTAAAAACTTATTTAAGTTATGTGGACACAAACCAATCATAGGTCAATTTGGCTAAATGATAAAAGCCAGTGGTAGCTGAATTTAAGAGCCGTTTTGGAGCCTAAAGAGCCAGCTGGTACTGCTGAGCTGAGCCAAATGATCGGCTCACTAAAAAGAGTCGGAAGTCCCATCACTGAAGAGGAAGGTCAACGGTCACGTGATCACGCGGAGAAGTACATGACCTTTCACATAGATATACTTTGGTGTTATTAGGTTAAAGAGCATGACCACATCTCAAGGCTCTTAACTGCATCCACCTTTCCCTTACTTGCGTATTTCCCCCAAGGAAACCATGTGAGGACAGAAGACAGGAGGAAATGTGTTTTCAGAGAAATAAGAAGTCCTTTCCTACTAAGTGAATTTGGTTTCTGAGGGTGCTGGCAACTGTCATTCGGCTTTAACAGCTGTACAGACTTTTGGTTTAGTGTCTGCACCCACACATGTGCACTGTGCTAATAGCCTACTATAAAGGCTCACAGTTAAAGCAGCATGTTTTCTCTCTGTGGCTTTACCTGTTTAACAAACACCTGCACATGATAAACAACTTGCATTCTGTATTTATACTGTGTACCCTGTTCAGATGCACAGGAATCATTGACGTTTAGCCTGTAGGCCTATAATTTATTCATTGTTTGGATCTGTATTTATTGACATTCTGATTGTGAATTCAACTCAATCAGAAAACCAAAAATAAAAGTTGTTTCTGAACTTGAGGTTAATCTGTTATCGTCTTCATTACAGTATGAAACTCCATTGATGTTGTGATAGATCAGTCCAAGAGGGCGTGTCGGCCAGTAAAAGATTCCTGAAGGTTGCTTTGTGTATCCTCGCTCATGGCTACTCTGTGGGCCTTTCTCAGGGTGCTCCACGTTTCCCTCACTTGCGTCTTAGTCCCGCCCACCGGGGGATGCATGGAGAGACGCAAGGAAAGCAGGAGAGAAGGAACGAGGAAATATATTTTTAGAGACAAGAGACGTCCTTTCCTCTGAGGCGTCACGTAAAGCGACGTCCATTTCTGATGACGGCGACAGTCAGCTCAAACAGCTGTAGAGACTTTTGATGGAGTTTGTGTCTGCACACGTGCACAGTTTTGGTGCTAATAAAGTCTCACAGTCGCTGTTACCTGTTTAACAAACACCTGCACACGAAAAACTATTTACTGTATGTCCTGCTCAGAGGCAGAGGATAATTTCTGCTGGCACAATACTGATATTATCTGCATTTATATTTATTGATTCTGATTGTAAATTCATTATTGAATAACCCAGAATATGATCATGGCAACTTATTTTTTTCTCCCTAAACATTTCTATAGGCTACATTTTGTCCGCGACTGATGTGGAGTGTGTGAGTGATTGACTCAGTGATTGTCACTTATTTAACTGCCTATGAGCCAGCGCCGAAATAGCCAGAGCCTTACTTTTGCTTCCTGGTATTGTTTATTTATGTATTGTGCTCCAGTGTCCTGTACACAGGCAGGGCATTGTTAAAAAGTAAGCGTTAGATCCCACTTTTACCACAAGAGGGAGTATACTGTTAGTGAGTTATGTTAGGAGCAGCCTCAAAAAGGCAGTGCAGACCATGCTCATAAACAATGTACCGATCTGTTTGTGTATGTTGCAGGTATGTAGCAAGCAAACATAATATATATAGAGTGGTAAAGTAGGCCGTTCAGTTCCACTGAGCATGTTTCAGCACCAGTGAAGTTGTTGTTATTAGCTTTGTTAACCTAAAACTTAAGTTAACTGTTGCCAGTGACATTAAAGCTGATGATACATGGGGCAACTTTTTGAGCAATGTTGCTAGGCCATCTTGCTGGTGGCAAGTCTGACTGTGTTTTGAATGGATATTGGGGCGGGTACGGAGTAGTGGGGGAAGGGGATTACTATAGTAATCTTTACTCGTTACCATTGACGGCAACATTGTTCTAAAAGTTGCTCGGTGTATTATCAGCTTAAGACCTTGTGGGCGGTACATATAAGAAATTGTGTCTGTAAAGCCTGTAACATGACAGTAAATGCAGCTGTAATAAACAGGAGCCCACAATACTAATCTGTATAATGTAGGAGTTGTGCCAAATGTTTTCCTTTATAAGTAGGCCTATACTGTTAGTGAGTTATATGAGCAGCCTCAACATGGCAGTGCATTTCTGTAACTTAACGTGAGTCTGAACTGACCGTGCTATAACAATGTTTCAATTTGTTTATGTATGTTGCAGATTTTATTGAAGATATTCAAAGCCACACTGAGTTTTTATTCAGATGTGCAACAATTACTTCTCTCCTGAGTTAGGGCATAAACTCAACACTAGAGGCTTAGTAGCTGCTAGTTAGATTTTAACTAAAACAGTAACCAAAACTGGATGCACATGATTAACTTTGGGTATGGACTAAATTCAAAGTCTTCAAAATGCATGTAAAATAGAGTCCATTTGAACATAGACTAATCTTCAACTGCAAGTCACCACAATCTTTATTAATGGGTTGGACTGTGACTTTACATTCACAGGTCTTTGAGTAAACTGTCTTATCTGTTTGATTCATAATTTCATCTTCAGTTATTGCCACCTGCATTTTGTCCCCATCAGGTTACAGTTAAATAAATCCAATGTAACATACAGAGGGATATCAGCACTTTATTAGACAATGAATGTGCTTCAATGAATCAAATTTAATAGTGCTGAATCATTAATCCTTCCTCCATTACAGTTTTTTAAGATAAATGAAATGGTCCATGTTAGCATGAATTGATATTTCTAGCGCCACTGGATTAAAATGGAGACTTTGCTCTTTATTTACTCATTGCCGTGGTGAATTGTACTTTTCTTTGCATTCCCCACTTATTAACTCAGTGAACACACTCAGGGTTGACTGAACTAGTTTTGATCAGCTGTTTAAGAACTGAAAACTCAGTTTCACATCTCAGGCTAAATCAACTCAAAGCTCCTGCCTCATCATCTCTCCTTTGCTTCCTAGTGTTTTCTTTGTGACTAATCTTTTGTTTCTTGTATCTTAGGATCACCGCCTGCTCCTCTGCCTTAAGTTTGCCTTCTGCTGGAAAGCCAGCCATGCGTTCCTATTCGCCACTGCCCACGCCATCTTATCTGACATTATTTACAAACTTCCTTCAGACGCCTTCAGATCTCCAACCCTAGTCATCTCTTGTTCATCTAATGCCCCTACATCATCACAACACTGTGGGCACAATGCATCATTTTTCACCTACTACCTCAATGATCCAAAAGAGGTGATACAGCAGCTAAACTCCTCCACCTGCTCCTCCACAAATTTTTTTCCAAAGAAACCCTTAATAAACAGCTACAGACCGATCTCCAATATCCCTTTTCCTAGTAAAATATTTGAAAAGGTTGTCTACAAACAACTGCATAGTTACCTGTCCATTCACAATCTATATGATGTGTATCAATCTGGCTTCAGGACTAACCGCAGCATTGAAACAGCTTTGTGGCCGTGTCTTAAAGGACTCTCTTCCTATCTAACAGGCAGGACATTCTCTGTGTCTCTTGACAACTGTTAAACTGGCAATTATAACATTTGCTTTGAGGTCTCACAAGGCTCAGTTGTGTATTTCACTTTCACATGATATCCTCAGCCCTATTAATGACCTTGACAACTGTATCAGTGAAATCAAGTACTGGATGATCAAAAACATATTGCAGTAAAAAAAGATTCTTGTGGAGAAAACTATATTATCATTACAATCTTACTGCTGTACATTCTCCATGACAGAAATTAAGAAAATGCACTGGACAATTACTTCCTGGGTGCATATGTATATTGGTAAAATATAAAAATAATAACTGTATAGGCCATTTTTTATTTAACCATATTCAAATGTATATTTAACTATCTGTTATGTTCTGTGTGTAGCAGAAAGATACTACAAACTTTCCTGCCCTATGGAACAAAGTTCCTAAGTTTTGTCTCCATGTGAGGAGTCCAGGTTTTGTCAACACTGCCAGTTCAGATCAATGTTAAAAGGAGACGAACAGGGCTGTGTTAAATATATAATGTTGCTTCTAACTGCAAAACTCAGAGCTCAGATGGAAAATATTTATTTCTTACAAATAGTTTTTAAAAGACTTGTTTTCAGGATGAAAATAATGACTCAAATAAAATGTGCAGGTCAGGACTTGTGAGATGACGTCGCTGTCTCTATCTGTCATTACCTGGTGTAGGAAGCTTCTATACATAATTTAAGAACACACAGATTTTAACATTTTATTATCTTAAAATTGGAAGTATAATGAAATGTTATGCATATTTCTACTTTTATTTCGCTGTCTCTACAAATTAGCAAATTTGAAAAGACCAAACAAATGACAAACTACATAATCATAACTAAAAGCCAAATTAGCCATAATATCTTTCTTATTTCAGCAGCACCTACCAGTAGAAGCAAATAAGGTATGGCACAACACATGATCATAGAAACTGTCCATAGGCTGTATGATATAGCCTACTAGTTAAGATAAGACTGCACTAGCAGCAGCAATTATATATGGTGAAAATAAAAGACAATCAGCTTCAATCAGACTACACCTCTGTGCTATTTATATGCATTATATAATGAGCAGAATAAAACAAGGTAATTATAGATCATATAGAAACACTGCAAGATAAAATACAAGTCTTTAATGAAGAGTAATGTCTATGTCTAAGTGAGATAAAAAGTCCTGAGTGGATTCAGAGGTTACTGAATCAGCTGTAGCTGTAATTTCCAACTTGTGGTGTGACCCAGTGGACTGCAGATGGTTGATCCAAAGCTGTGACACCAAGTGGTCCTTCATGTCCAGGTGAAACATCTTTGTCTGCTGGGGGAGGACAAGTCAGTGGGGAAAAACAGTGGAGCCTGTGTTAACCTCTAACACCTCTAGTGTACACTTTATGCCCTAATTTAGGAGAGAAGAAATACAGAGCTGGTGCAACCAGTGCATGTGTGTAGATGCAGCTGAGTGGGAGCCAGGAGACTGAGCATGAGGCAATAACAAACACAGGGACAGACGGAAGTGAAAGAACAAAAGGAGATATAGGACTGATGAGACTTGCATTTATCACCATTCACTCCCTGGTCAAATGACATCGGCAGTGATGCAGGTAGTGTCCTCTGTTTCTTATTAGCGGATGTCTATCACGTTACATCCATATGTGTGTAGTAATAATACTATGCTAGGTCTGCCGGCTGAGACTGTATAGCTGCGTTGTTATGTTTTCTAGAGCACACAAACACTGTAAACACACACCTGTCACCTGCCCAGCATGGTGCCATTACCCAGAAACCCATCTTCTACACCTTATCTTTACAGTTTATACACACAGCCCACAGGGGGGTTAATAGCCGCATTTAAAACCTGCATGTACCGACAGTAACATAACTCATGCATGTCAGCAACACTCAGCCTAATACAGATAACTTGCTAATGTTATCATATATTACCTGCTGTACTGTCCGCTGCTTTCTCGTCAGATGGATAGCATTCCTTTTGCTGTTGACTTTGTGTGTGAGGCCACATGGACAGAAATGCTGTACGCTTTTAGTTATGGTATTATAAATGATATTCTTCCCTCCAGCCCTGCTCACTCCCTCTGATTGCTTTCATCGCAGTGTGCTGGCAGTCAGAGCTCCCCCTGCTGTCCATAAAGTACCTCTGCGCCTCAGCTGTTCCAGACCCTCCCTGCAGCCTTTGGGTCACGCCTCCTCATTCGCATACACAACTCAATCCCCAAATCCGCAATCCTAAATGGCTAAATGACTAAATGCCCAATCCTAAATACCAAATGCCCAATACTAAATACCAAATTCATTTTCGATTTCGACTTTTAGTTTTAAATCTGACCCAATAATCGCTCTATAGAGTTTAATCCAAAACCTTTTGCACCGGTTTGCTACGTTTTGTCGGGGCTGAACTCAGCCTAGGGTTGTGTGCAACAAGACACAAGAGGCATCTGAATGCGCCAAATTAACCGAATTGTGGCAGGTGCAGATGAAGCAGGACCCAGCAGCAGAAGAAATAGGTGCACAATCAGTAATGCATTTATTTTATACTGAAATTATTTATATATGTATTTATATATTGGCATTTATTATAAACAAACCGAAGGTGTTATCACCTTCTATAAGCGAGGAATCTTTATGTGTCTGCATGTATATTAGCTGTTAATGTCAGTGGAGGTGATGCAGAGGTACAGGGTGATGATCCCAGTCTTGTTGATGAGGAGGGAGAGAAAAAAGAGAGGAGCTGCAGGAGGTGTAGCAGGAACTGCAGGAGGACAATGGAACCAGAAAAAAACAGTGACAGGTACAGGGGCAGTGTGCAGGGCTGAGTAGGCAATCATATGTAGAGATAGAATTAGAGAATGGATTATCGTTTATATTTAAATATTTTAGTACTCTGACGTGCTGTAAACATGACGTGTTGGTAGTAGTATACTGTAACTTACGCTGGGCTCACTTCAAAGAAGCTACGTTACAGAGCCCTAGCGCAAGCATGACTTTGACAGGCGGAAGGAAAAGTAGGTCCTATCAACAAAGTATAATTAGACCATCCCGGTGACAGTAAGATACTTATGATAAAACACACACTCCTATTATACGAGTATCGATCCCAGAGCAGGAAACGTTGGTATCAGGAATATCGATACTTTAGAATCGATCCGCACATCACTACTACGGAGTTTTTCACTCGTATATATCCCAAAAAATTAATACATGGGAAGCGGAAATACATTTTTAATTTATAGTAGCCTAGTTTAACTACTTCAATTACTCTATCAAAGAAATTTAACATCACATTTCATTAATTTCTAATGAATGTTTTTCAACTGTTAACCATTTTCAAAAGACAGTTTGGGGGGTTTCACTGGCAGATGTTGGTGCTGCAAATTCAGACATGAGAACCAATCAAAAGCATCAGAACAGCATCAAACTTTACAAAACAGCTGTGGGTGGAACTGGCAAAGAAAGACATTGTGCACATAAAAACATGCAAAGCAATAAAATTAATATTTAACATATAGCTGAGCTTTTTACAGAAAATATTCAGATGTAACCCCCGATGTTATAACCATTTTCATAAGTGGGGATTTAAATACACATTTTCCCCAGTAAATGTAACATTAGTTACATTTAATTTGTAATCGAAGTATGTAACTAAATTACATGCAACTAGTTCCCAAAACTGGTAACTGGAACATAATATTCATGATAGGCCTAAACTAGACCTGCTGCCCAGTTGCACATTCACGGCAAGGATGGTGCATTCAGTTACTCAGTAAAGCAGTGTTACCTGGATTAGTAACTAATAATATTACTGTTTTGGAAATAGTGATCCGTTACACTGCTAGTTACTGTGAAAATGAGTAAATGTAAAATGAGAAAAGTAATATTACAGTTCCTTCCCAACACTGCTAACAGTAGGCCTAGCTTTGAAATTAGTTTTAATTTAATGTTAAACAATTATACTAACAGAAAAAAAAAATTAACATTTAAATTAGTAAACACTTGACTCCCTCCTATGAGGGAGTAAACACGAGCCTACAGCTCCACACTGCTGTCTGACCCCAACTGGTCCGCTGACCCCATAGGGGTCATTTACACTGGGGATGCTGGGGACATGTCCCTTCCACATTTTGAAATGGCAGATTTTTCACTTTTTGAAAGCATTTGTTAAAAATGTTCTGAAAAATAGTTTGCACCAAAAAATATTAAATAACAAATGAAAACGCTTTGAGAAAAGGTTTATTTGCACAATAAGAAAACATGCAATGCAATATAGTTTCCCCCCCTCATAAAACCCAGACATTTACACCACAAACTGGAGCAGAAATGTCTCCAGAATGCAGGAAATTACAAGTTTAATGCTCAAAATCTTCTGGGGGAGTACCCCCGGCACATATTTCTACGTCAAATATTTAATCGAAATAGTACTAAAAGTCTTCTCGTTCTCATGCATCGTCACATCTCATGACCCAAATGTTTCATTACACCCCTAATCTGAGCCCTTATGTCCCCACCGCTTTTCAACACAAAGTGACGCCCTTGACTGACCTGCTCTGCTCCAAACCAGCTCCTCTCTAGTAGGGCCTACTTATTCTCTCCACCAATTAGTGAACACTTTTGCAAGGCATTGTATGCATGCTACATTCTCATTAGGGGCTGAGCACCCCTAAAGGTCTGATCCTAGAATTGCCCCTGGATAAGGGACAAACCAAAACAGTCTGGAGGCAAAAATAGGGGACCTAACTATAATGAAAATTATGAGCCCACCTGAATAATACCCCACCCTCAAAACAAAACACTCCATTACTGATTGGTCAGGCTCACCGGAGTCCAACCGGGACCAAAGACCATATCACCTGCAATTTTCTGCAGCGGGAGGACAACAGCGGGTGGCACACAGACACAGCGGCTGCCACCACAGGAACTGGCCCACCCTTCACGCCACACCTCACTCTCTGCTTCTCCAACACTGCCTGCTGCTTCAAAAAGTAGATCCAAGCACAGCACACATGGCGACATGCCGCCGACAAACTTCTCCAAAATCTAGGTCTCCTTATAGCTGCAGCTGATTAGGACAACCAGTTGCTAGCCGGGAGACGATACCAGCAAACACCTGGAGAGAGCAAGAACACACGGACCACGAACAAACATAGGACCTTATGGGTCGTAACACAGATTTTGAGCAGGTGTTTTAAGTATCTGGCATAGTGGTTACTTTATTGAGTGTGTAATTAAAAATTTATCACCACAAATAACACCTTAATCAACACTTGATTATCAAGTGATTATACAAAACATTTGCTGGTTCCAGCTTCTTAAATTAGATTATTTGCAGCTGTTCTGGATCATATTGCAGATGTATTACTTACTGTTAGCCAGTTTGGATTGTAGTCACTTCTGATGAGTATTTCTCATTTTTTAAAATTGTATGGATAAAATGATTGCTTGAATAATCAAATTAACTGATAAATATAATATGCATCCGTCCTTAGCAAAACAGCTACATTCCAATCAAAACATGCTTTTTATATTTTGCACATGATTACAGGACACCTTCACCAACATCTTTGGCCTTCTGCAAGGCTCTTTGCATCAGAACACCCGGTTTACAGAAAATCTGGTCAAACCAAGTCTTCCACCGTTTCATCTACGAAGGTTCACACACACAGTGTATGGGCAGGGTGCCAGCGTCAGGCCGAATCGCCCGTGCAGGGAGGAGGAGGCACTCCCTCTGGAAGTCTGAATTCGAAGGCCTGCAATAAACTGGTAACCATCAGGAACAGCTCCATCTTCGCCAGCTGTTCACCCATGCACACCCTACGACCTGAAGGATACACTGCATTAATCATTAGAGCCTGGTGTGCAGACAATTCCAATTTATAGATCATGTTATTTCAGTAATTAAGCCCATATGAGTAGAGAGTGGCATACCTGTCCCGAATGGCATAAAGCACTCTTTCCTGATCAACTTTCCCTCATCGTCCAAGAAGCGTGCTGGGTTGAAACTGTCTGGGTCATCCCACACAGTGGGATCTCTGTGGACAGACCACAGGTTGGGCAAAACAACTGTTCCTTTGGGAATAGTGTAGCCTCTGAACTCTGGAAAAGGAGAACACATTACAATGCCATCACCTTAGCAAATCAGATGCTCATGACAGTCAACCCAATTCAGCTCTGTCGATCTTTATTTTCCCTGATACAATTATTATCTGAGATCTGACTAGTTGAGCATTAACAAAAAGGTTTTAGTGAAGATCCAAAAAAAAGGTGTTAACCCGTTGTCTCAGAGGCCATGTGAGGAATACCCAGAGGAACCACTGTAGCCAATCTCTGCACCTCCATGATGGTAGCTTCAGTAAAAGGCAAACTCCCCTTATCAGTCAAAGATGGGACACTGTTTCGGCCCACCACTTCATCAATCTCTGCCTGGACCTTTTCTGAAATTAAAACAGCAGAAGCAAAGCAACGTTAAGAACATTATTCTTGCATGATTAATAAGTCCTTGTCTCAACAAATCAGCAAAAAATTAAGTTTGACTTTGGGACACACTTTGGGATGCCTTTCAAAATAATTTCAATAAAAGAACTAGAAAGCAAAAGTAAAATGCATGTTTGATGTGCTAATCAATGTGGTTGTAAAGCAGTTGGAGAAGTAGCTAAATGCATAATCGAGCCATTCATTTGTTGTCCAAAACTGGGAAGTATGAGCCGTTTGTTCCCACAGAAAATAACCAATTCCTTGTCCCCCCCCAAAGAGTTTTCCGTTTATGTAGAAAACAAGGTCTGTGGTTAGCTGTCAGCATCTCAATTTTATATTATTGAATTATGTATTGATTGAACTCATTTGTATCAGTTGTTTAACACTTTGTTGTTTTTTTTTTATTCCTCAAAAACTCAGGATAAAATTTGCTTTTCCACTTTATTGGATAGAAAATGATTTTTGATCTGATATTTCAGATTACAGGTGATGGTCCCACAGCTCCACTCCAGTGTCATTGTGGAGGTCAGTTTTGCACAAGCAAACTACACAAAATGCTTCATTTCACAAGAGCATGTAAGCTCTGTCAAGGATGGACTTGCTACACTCGCTTACCTTGGATATCAGGGTGTAAGACCATGTAGAGCAGAGTCCATAAAACAGAATTACTGGTGGTGTCAGTGCCAGCAATGAAGAGATCTCCTATTATATAAAAGAGATAATCTTCTGTGAAACTGCTGTCCTCCTCCCCAGCAGCTTGCTGGGACAACATCTCTATGAAGTACATGTCTGCTAGATCCCTTGGGCTGTCAGGATCTAATGTTTCACGGTGCTTTGCAATAATCCTCTTCAGGAACACTGTGATGTCTCTTTCCACCTGCCGTAACTCCTTGAAGACCCCAAAAGGCAAATAGTACAGCAGTGGAAAGATGTTGATGAGAACCGCGGGGATGTTCACACAGATCTCCAGCCCACGAACCATTAGGCCCAGCATGTTGCGGAACTCGAGGTCATCGTGATGGAAGCGCTGACCCAGGATCAGCGAGCAGATGACGTTTGACACGGCGTTGCTGATCAGCGGGGCCAGGTCCACACCGGCACCACCAGACTCCTCGTTCAGTTTGAGCAGCTCTGTTTTGATGGTAGCCAGGCCTTGCAGGATGCAAGGCTCCAAGCTTAACTTTCCCAGGCCAAAGTTGCGGAGTGTGGTGTGGCAGAACCTGCGCTGCTTTCTCCACACTGGCCCGTAAGGTGCAAAGACTATTCCTAAAGTTCAATTAAACCAGAAAAGGGATGGCATATGGTTCATGTCAACAAACAGTAGCATTTAGGTCAAGGTAAGTTTCTTATCTATATGGACATGTTAAACTGTAACCTACATGTAAATACAGTTACACTTGTCATCAGTAGGCTACCAGTATTGTTTTGTTTTGCTATTGGTCAACCTGTTTACTGCAGCTCAAGGTTTTAGGGTGTTAAACCTAAAAAGCGCCTGTCTAAGTTACAGCTATTCTTTTCCAGAGAGGTTTTTCTAACAATGTACTATTTTATGTAAACGAGAGTTGACAAATATTACAACAGACTCTCAGGACAAGGCAGTACAATTCAACAGCAGTCTACAGCCTCCAAAAGAGCAATAAAGTTGAATTATCACCTCTCTAATGGTTAAACAAAAACTATTTCTTGGAAGACTTATTGGACTGCATTAGTTTTGGCTAGGTTCTGCAAGTTATTACATGCTTTAAGTTTACTCAACATACAAGTAAGACTTAAATAAATGAAATGGTCATTTAATGCAATTTACCTTTGCGTTTAGTCATAATAGTAACAGTAGGAACAGTTGGTCTGTCGGAGAACACGTCGGGATGGTTTGAGAGAGCATCCTTCACCACTTCGTAGCCATTAAGCACGACGACCAACTGACTCCCCACAAAAAGGCTGTAGACATTACCATACACGTTGGCTTGTTCCGTTAAAACAACCACAGCGTTTATGACGGAACTGTCTGGCTGCTGTCCGAAACTCCTACGGATGAAAGTGGGGATGAGAAAGCCACCAAAGTTGCCGACTACCGGCCACGGCTTTGGACCTGGCGGAATATTTGCGAGGTCCCGTCCTCTCTGATAAAATGTAACTAGAAAATACACTATCACGAATACTATCAAAGCTATAATGTTTTCATGTGAGAGCACGGAGCTGCTCAGATAATCCGGCCATGAAAACGACACCATAGCGTCACAATTAAATTAAACTTACTACAATTAAACAAAGAGCTGACAATACTATCCCATTTTCAGAAGTATTCTGGTGTTTGATGCACCAATTTAAGCTCTTCCCGTGTTGCTTGTTAACGACGAGTCAACGTGGTATAGAAACTGGCTTCCTATTGGCTGACAGCGCGTTGACCTGCTGTGATTGGTTCACTTTGACACAGAGAATAACGGGATCCTTTGCCCTTAGAATTGTCTTAAAGGTTACACCACTGCTGGCTGTTTGTTACAATGTAGCCTAACAACCTAGCAAATTTAAATTAAGTTAAAGATTGATACATTTTCGCAAGCGCTCAAGTACCACTATAAATGGAGTTATATAACTGAAGTTCAGGAACAGGACCACGCCTCTCTCTCACTAATTCGACCACCTGCGCCTCATTCATTCCTCCAATCAACCACCCTTGCTTTACTCATTTCATCCACCTGTGCCTCTTTAATCCAATCACATGCACTCACTATATAAGCCTGTCTAACCTAGGGGCGTAGGAGCGACTTTGGCCCTGGGGGGGACGCTAGGGGGGGGATTTATTTAAATAAAGCACTTAAATAGTTGATAAATAAATAGTTGTATTATTTTTCTCTATTCTTTTTAATATTATATAACTTGCATTGTCTATTCCATATTTATATATTTCTACATTTATTTATGTCAACTGTATGTTTGTCTACGTGTAGCACCTTATCACCAAAACAAATTCCTCGTATGTGTTAAACACTACTTGGCAATAAAGCTCCTTCTGATTCTGATTAAATGCTCATTTCTAATGACTTTTGAAAACAGAATGTACTTATTAGTGTGGCTGAAAGAGGGTCTTTGTAGTGACAGAAGATGGATAATAGAACAGAGAGGGGAGATTATGAAAACTCAAAGAGGGAGAGGGTCAGAGAGAGGGAGTATAATATAACTAGAACAAAACCGACTACATACCATAAAAACCATGGAACAGCTGTTAGTTAATGTAGCCACAGTACAAATGTATTTAGTTATCCTAATGTTACATTTGATGTAGCTGTCTGTGATATTTCCTGTGTCTCACTTGGGCCTGACTCTTCCTGCAACAAATGTTTGTGAACACAGAACTGTCTTCAAAGCAAACTCTGATGACATGCAATTGTAATAACAAAGTCTTTTTACTACGTGAGTTTTAGAATTTACTACGTCTAGTAGCTATCCATACAACTTACAAGCTCGTCCTCCTCAGTTTTTTCTACTCCTGCTCATGTGACCTCTGTCCTCTTCCTCTTAAAATACTGCAGGATGCTCATCTCTGTGTGAACATTTTCACTCCTTTCAAATTGTTTATGGACACGTAGCCGAGACACATACACACCTCATGGCACAAGTTTTTAAGGTCAAGGGGAAGCTAACGAGCCGTAGTGATAGCAAGTTAGAGTCTTTTGACAGACTTGTTCATTAAAATCTCGTTCATTACAATTAACTTATCTTTTTTTGAGTCATTTCGTTCATTTGAATTAGGCTGGTTATTGTGGCGCTGCAGTCCTCTAGTGGGCGATTAAAAAACAGTGCCGTTCTGAAACACGGAAGGCTGCCTGGCTTGCTTTATTTGACAAAGTATAATGCACAAATTCACCTCTTGATTACTGTATATCATCATTATATAAACCCCCTGGGCCCACAACCAAATTCAAACCATGTAAAAACCACAGAAATATGTTGTCAATATGTAATCACCACTACTCCGGCTAAATCTTTCCATTTTCACAATCTTTCCCGAGTATACAACCAGACCAGCCATATAAAGGCTTATGTATATAATTACTATCATTATCTCTAAAGTGCTCATTCATACAGCAGCCTAACGTCCCTATCCATGAGTAAAATATTAATATTAGATTTGCAGTAAATATACTGAAGTAATAAGCTTGATACATATGAATAAACACACTCTTATTAAAATTCAACCAATTTAATAATAATCTGGATCAAGCCACCAAGTTCTTAAAGAACTCCAGCACAGAGAGAGGAACAGAGAAATATTAACACATATAAACGCAGCAGTTTGGCAGTTCTAGACGCAGAATGGGCCACATCAGGTCCGGATTCTGCAGACAGAGAAACAAACATGAGCACATCGCTCTCAAACACTGCAGGTTGTTCACCAGTCACAAGCTGTGAAACAACAGCACGGCTCTGTTGGTAAATAAAAAGGAAAAGTTAGGTAGCGTTCTCTGGTGGACCTGGATGGTTTACAGGGTTAACGCTAATGTTTCTATGTGGCTGTGTTTTAATGTTTTAATGACCGGGTCTGTTTTTTTTGGAGAGGAGATGACCTCTGAGGTAATTCGGCTCCCAGTGGAACCCTGTCAGGGCTCTGAATTGGAGCAGACCCAGAACAACTCTCATCAGCTGTTAGCTGTAATGTTAAACACTAGCAGGACTAAAGTTACGGTGCGGCTGTGTTAAAACTATAACTTAGCACAACATCACTGTGCTGTAATAATGGTATGCTTTATAAAATGTCACATAATTAACAAAATAGCTATATAATGTCAGTCCAGTGACTGTTACCTGACAGCCGACCTGCCTCTCATTCTCCGGCGCTGAGGAGGACCCATGTGAGCGGTGAACGAGTTGTTCATTCCTGCTCCACAGTAGCTGTCACGTGACAAATGAACGACTCAGACCTAGAGACTCACAGTTGAGAGTCGTGAACTAATCAGTTCTGTTTCCTGTGCTGCCTGCTTACCACAGCCCTGTAGCTGAGCTGTCACGTGACAAATGAACGACTCAAACAGACCCACAGTTGAGAGTCGTGAACTAATCAATTCTGTTTCCTGTGCTGAAGGAGCCCATGCAGCTGCCGTGTGACGAGTGAACGTAAGACTCCAAGATCCTTCACGCATGTGTGAAAATGAACGAATCACTCACTGAGACAACCCGTTCCTCCCAAGTCATATACACGATTAGGTCTTATGAACGAACCCTAACGAACACTAACCAGCCGGCCTGCCAGTCCGCTCACAGAGCCTTCAGACACGCAGACCACTGCAGCCAACACAGCAGAGAGTCCTGCAACAACGGCAGAGTTATGACCCACAGCTGTATGATAGTTTTAACATTCGTACCGCTGTTATTATGTCATTACATTCTGAGTAATTTTGTAGGGTTTTAACTTAAATCAAGAGACATCTAGATGATGTACAGAAAAATGCTGATGTACAGAAAAATCTGGCCTTGTGAAACTTTGGAAAAAAACAGAAAAATAGAATGAAAGTGGCTTTATTATTATTATTATTATTATTATTATTATTATTATTATTATTATTTATTAGGCATTACATTGCTAGTATACAGTAGAGTTGTGGTCACAGTATTTGCCTTTTTGCTTTTATTTTTATATAATTTTTATGTATGTGCAAATATATCTTGTTAAGTTAATTAACAATTAACCCGATTCTGAACTTTTTGTTTTAGGGGATAAAGCCTGGCTGTTATAATAATTAGAGCGATTTAGAGCAATGCAGGCAACCTCTGCACTTGGGGTATTGCGCAATACCAGCAAAAACGCATCGTCTCAAACCGTCAGCAGCGTTTTGTGTGCTCTGCAAGTTCATTCTTCCAAGAACGACTAGCAAGAACATTCTCCCCAAGAACACAAGTCCGTTCTTTGCATTGTTGGTTTTGAGAAACACCCTGTGAGTCTTGACCCCCGGTTCCTAGCTGCCCCAGACACCAAACCCTAAACAACCTCCTTCATCCCCCCCTTCTCGACCCCTTCATCCCATCCTCGACCCCTTTTATCCTCTCCCCTCGATCCCGCCATCATAATTCATAGGCGGAAATCACGGGGGGGGACGGGGACCCTATCTGAGGGGTGTCCCCCCCTTAAAAACATAAAATAATATAATGATATATACTTAAAATAGCCTTGTGTAAATAGTAAAACAATACAAACGCAAACAGGGCAATTAAAGTGCTTTTTAACTTTAGAAACATTTTGAGCCCCCCTCTCTTGCCTCACAGTGGTTTGGTCCACTGCCTGCTTTCTCTCTCATACCCCTTTTCCACCAAAAAAGAACTGGTTCGGAACTGGTGCTGGTTCAAAGTTGGTTCAAAGTTGGTTCAACTTGCGAACCTTCTCAGAACCTGTTTGTTTTTCCACTGACTAGAGAGCCCAGCGAACGACATCATCACGTCACTGTGTAGGTCGCAATACGTCTTAGCCTTCCCAGAAACGCTTGCGCCAACTTCAAGCATAACAGTTACAATGTCGGACTACATCGTCTTTCTGCAAATATTTCTCCTGGCTTTGCGATCCTATATTGGGGTCAGAAGAAGACGTTTAGAACACATTTGTGCTGCTTGTCTGGATTACTATAGACGGAGGTTACGTTCGAGAAGAATTATATAACATGTACGATTCATATTATTGATGTTAGCTCTTGTTGGAAGCAAATGCAAGGCCGCTAGCTCAAATGGCCCTAACGTTAGCTACAGTATGTACTGGTAGGACAGACTACCAATAGATTACATTGGAAATCAAAAAAAAATAAAAATTGTGCACTGATTTTTATCTTTACAAGCAACGTTAGTATTGCGGCACATCGCAAGACAGAGACGGCCTGTGTCTGGGCACACCCACGATCTCAGCACGGACACAATTGTTCCGGATTTCACCGCTCAACAGTTTTTGCAGAATTTCCGAGTGTCCCGGGAGTCATTTGAGTACATCTGTGCTCGAGAGGCCTGACATGGGGAGAAGGATTATCGTATGCGTGTCACAATCCGAAAGCGAGTGGCAATTGCCATCTGGAAACTGGCCACCGGCATCGAATACAGGACCATAAGCCATCTTTTTGAGGTAGGCCTCAGCACTGTGTTTAACTGTGTTCAGGACTTTTGCTACGCAGTCAACAAGGTGCGGCTTCCTGTGCACATTTCATTTCCTGACGCTGACAAGTTTGTAGAACTAGCCATATTCTTTCAGAATCGTTGGAGAGTACCACAGTGTGTTGGAGCAATAGATGGAAGTCACATCCCTGTAATAGCACCAGAGGAGTACCCTAGAGACTATTACAACTGGAAAGGATGGCATTCAATTGTTCTCCAAGCAGTGGTTGATGGGATGTATTTGTTGGCTATCCAGGTAGTGTTCACGACGTAAGAGTACTGAGACGGTCACATTTGTGGGAAGTCCTGAATGACGGGGAGTTATTAGGCCAAAACAAAATGAACATCTCTGGGTGTGATGTTGGACATTATCTAATTGGTGACCCAGCTTACCCTATGTAGAACTGGCTCACGAAGCCCTTTTCAGACACTGGCAGACTTACACATGAACAACAGACCTACAATTTCCGGCTGAGCAGTGCACGGTCAGTTGTGGAGA